TTAAATTATTATCTTAGCGTTAGTATTTTTATTGAATATTAAATATTTTATAATAATAAAGTACAAATGTAAGAAAAGAAAAATAAAATAATTCAGTTACAAAGCTACTGATTTGTTGAGACGGCTTATTCCTTATAAAAAATCAAAATAAAAAAATGATACGTTTTTTATAGGGTTTGTATACGTAATTAATGATTCCGTATTGTGAACGAATAAAATATGATCTTTTAATAAAAGATTGTCAAAATAATGTATTTTTATTAGCAGAAGTAACTGGTCTACCATTAAAAAAAATCAAAAAAAATTTTTTTGATTATGGTCATAATCATCATAATGGAAAAGATGAATTTGAATACTGTAATTTATTAATAGTATATAATTATGAGCCATTTTTAAATGAAGATTATATTAATAAATTAATGAAATCAATCAACATATTTTTATTACAAATACATAGTAAGTAAAAAATTTATTTAATAATATTAAATTTTTAAATTATTTATTTAATAGCAAACATTCTAAAAGTTAATTTTTTGGATCAGCCAGCAAGTAATTTATATAGTTCAAAACAATTTATTGAAATAACAATACCATTACAATGTAATAAAGATAGTGCATTTACATTTATTAAAATCATACTTTATATTTATGTAAGTTAATTTAACTTTTTTAATTTTAATCAATATATAATATTAACTTTAATTTATAATATTACTAGCAAAAAATAATAGAAAATTACAATATATTTAATAATGTATTAAATTCCTTAGTTCAAAATAAAAACAAAAACCATCCCCATAATTATTTTTTGAAGTTACTTGTAACTTTCGCATATAAGTTATTATCATCATCAACTTTAACATTTTCCATACCAAAATTTTCTCATGAACGAGATTTATCACCTAATCCTTATATAGAAATATATAATCAAAATTTTAATGAATTACGTAATTTTCAAAATTTATAGATAATCTTAATGAAGAAAATAATATTTAAGAATATAATGAGATTTGGTGTTCTCCTAATTTAGATTCCACAATTTTAAATAATAATGATATTATTTATGAATAAATTAATTAAAGTAAGTTTATTTAAAAGTTTATAATTATATTGTGATATAATATTAATTAATTTAATTACAATTTAGATAGATTTATTATTTGAAATAAAATAATATGATCTTTTATTATTTTTTTCTATATAACTTTAACTTCTCGTAAGTGATTGAATGAGTAAATTATATTTAACATTGTATTATTTCAATGTAATATATAATTGAAAACTCCTCATAGTTGACTGAAATAAAGTTATTCAATTTTTATTTTTTTTAAAATTTAAAAAATTTTTATAATAAAAATATATGGATATTTAACAATTTTTAACACATATGTATAAATATATAAATTTAAATAAATATTTATAAAAAATGATATTGCCAATTATTATTTAAAAAATTTTAAAGTTTTTGAAAAAATATGATATAAAATGATCGCATATATATGATTTATAATACATAAAGTTTAAACTTTAAAATAAATTTGTTGATCTTTTCTATAATAACCTGATTTTACTAAATATAGGTAGTAAGAAATAATTTTTTAAATTTTTACATGATTATAATTACAATCAAATTCTATTTTTTTCATTAATATAATTAGTATATAAAGTATTTTAACATTAATTTTTCAATTTATTTACAAATAATTAAACAATGCGTTTATTATTTAACTTTTACTTTTTTTTATAATTTACTTTATTCAAAATTATTATAATATTATAAGAAAATATTCAAGAAAAAAATTTACAAAATATTGAATATAATATAAAAAGTTCAGCTGAAAAAACTAAATGTAAATATATCTTTCAATATATTAATTATCGTTATAATTATAATAATTAATATTATTTTATTTTATATTATTAGAATTAGAAAAAGAATTAGAAAATCTTAAAAAACAAAATGAGCAATTACAAGAAACACTTCAAAAAAATGTAAAAAATATTATTAGAAAATATTAAATTGAACTTTATTTATAAAATTTATTAAATAATTTAATTTTAATAGCAATTATATTCAAGAAAGTTCTTACCTATCATTACTACCGTTACTTCTGATTTAATACAAAATCATATACTAATTATTAATAGAATTTTTAAATCACCAAATGTTAATTATATAAATATTTCTGAAACTCTACAAATTTCAGAAAATAAATTTTTATCTTATAAGGTTTTTATTCATTAATTATATTTATATTAACTAAATATACAAATACTAATACAATTTTATTAGAGTGATATTCGTGATTTGGTAAATTCAGGTCTTTTAGATTTATCAAAAACTTGGAAGGATCAAGAACAATGAAGAATTTTAAAGTTATTTTTAAAGTAAGAGTATATATTTTTATTTATTTATTTTATATATATATATAAATATTGTATGTATTATATTAAACTAATATTTGAATTATTAGTTTAAAGAAAAAAATCCTTTATTTTCAAATATAGCAAATGATTGGGCAATTAAGCAAATGATTCACCATTATATTAATGGATTGGATTTACCTGTACTAAATTAAGTATATTGTACTAAATTATAACGGAAAATAAACTGAAATTTCTACCAATTTAAATAGATAATAAGGGTTCAAAATTAATAAACTACTTATTTATGTTAGAGTGTATTTATAATAAATATCATAGGCTCATTAGAGTTATATGTGAGATAAAATCAAACGAAATCATGCATAGAGTAGATCTATTAACTTTAAAAAGGAAATTATTATGCATACTCTAATTTTGTTTTTTAGGTGAAAAATCAATCATATGGGAGGTTTGCTAGAAAAATGAGGTTCTGAGACTAAAAAATTTTTTGAATAAATTAAAAAATCAAAATAAACAAAAAACTAGTTTTAAATTTGAGGCGATCTATTTTTAGGTCATGTGATATATATCATATGATATAAATTATTAGCTAAATACTTTTTAAAATTTAATTTGTTGATCATTTTCTAAATAGTACATTAAACATGTTTATTATTTCCAAAAATCTATTTCTAGATTTACTAAGAAATAACTTTCAATATTATAATATTTTTTTTTTGAAAATAAGCTAATATAATATAAAATTTAACCAATTAAAGTTTATAAGTTATAGATTAATATGTATCAAAAATTTCAATTTTTTAAAAAATGTCAATGAACCCCATTTTCCTAGCAAACTTTCCATATGATTATATAATTCTGGCTAGATTTCGGCTAATGGTGAGTATAACTAACACAAAATAATAGCCATCTTTTAAAAAGGTTAAAATATTAAGTAAGTGGGCGTTATAAACATAGTTTGTACATCAATAAATAAGGTGATTTCTCAATGTAAATTGAAACCGGTTGCGAAATATTGCTGTATTGTTCAAATGTGAATGCTTATTAGTATAATGTAGTAAAGGTATGAATAGGAATATAAAAGTTCTTTTCTCATTTTGAATTTTTCTTTCTTTATCTAACCTTTAAAATGGGACGAATTTCTTCGAATATTAGAGAAGGCGTTAAGGTTTCTGTTTTGGGCTCTGTTGTGAGTGAAAGCATTGCTCAAACACTTTTGGAAGAATTATGGAAAACTAAACAACTTTCAGCAAGAGTTTTACGAGTAGCACTAGGTAATAACCGCTGGATAATTTACCTTGATTCGCAACCAGAAAATAAAATTGAGGTTTCAGCGGGACGTATAAAGTTTGTGGCTTTTCCTACAACTATTTTAGATACCAATCAAGATACAAGTGAGTAAGAGCGAATAAGTGGTAGCGAAACAGATTTTTCAAGTAATAGTGATGATAGTTTTGAGGATTAAGAAGTTATAAATATTCATAACATTAATAACGTACAATTGGCCAATAAAATTGTTATTATTGATTCTCGTCAAGTGTCTCACTCCTATTCCAATACACTAGTTGTACACATTGCCGATATCTCTAATGCAATACCTAGACAGTTTTTTGAGCATTTTTATCTGTTGATTTTATAATATTAGTAGTAATTCCATCTACAAATAGATGTGCGCGTGAATGTGAATGTAGGTGAAGTGATTTAATATAGCCAGAATTTATGAAGTTTATTGGCATTTTAACAATTATGACATATGTAAAATATGCTAATATTTGCGATTATTGGTCCATTAAAAAAGAAATGGCTGGAGTTTCACTAGCAATTAATCAATATATGTCACATCAACGATTTTGAAATATCATAAAATATTTGACATTAACAGATATATCAACAAATAACGATCCCTTTCACTTTGCACAGCAGTTTCATGATGAATTTAATGAAAATCTTACAAAAGCTATCCTACCTGGTCCTTATCTTTGCATGGATAAATTAATGTGTCAATAGATGGACAAAGTTTACAAAAGTCTATTTTAACGAAAAATACCCAGAAAGCCGCATCCAATTGAATGTAAATTCAAAGCTCTTGCAGATGCTCAAATTAATTTATTCTTAAGATTAGATCCAGCAGAACCTTCGGAATATGCTATGAAAAAAAAATTTTCAGATCAATACTCAGCAATTGTTTCATCTATGTTAAGATTAGTAGAATCGTGATTTCATAGTGGTAGAATAATTATTGTTAATTCGTGATTTGGTAGCACAGATGCATGCATTACTTTATATAAACATGATCTTTATTCTATCCTACAGATAAAGAAACGTCGTTATTGGCCTAAAAATATCCCTAATGATATTACAGATATACTTGAAAATACATATGGATTATCTATTAGGGTAGTTTGCAAAATAAGTGATGTTGACTTAACTGTATGTTCAATTCGTGATCGCAAAGATATCGTACTTCTTGCTAGTTGTTTTACAACAATTCTCTGAACAGAAGTAAATCGATATATTAAGGGTTATGGCAATGCAACATTCCGTCGACCTATTGTATTTGATGAGTATAATGAATTTAGATCAGCCGTAGATATACTTAATAATTTGCGTGATAATTCACTTTTTTATCATGATATTCTTGGATCAAAACGTTTTGCAGATCGTGTTTTGCCTTCTATCTTACAGTTGCAGAGGCAAATAGCTTCTCTGCATATTATAGATTTGTTCTGGAAAAAAAAATATGAAACACGTTGATTTCTGCAAGCAATTAGCAAAATCAATCTTCAATTGTTATTCAGACAATACAATTGCTAATCGAATCAAAAAAAAGACGAAAATAAGATTCAGATAATTTTGAACATCATTTTACAAACCTAAATAAAGATCCGGTAACCTCAAAACTCAATAAATATGTTTAACACCAATATATAAATTGTCATAAACGTATAACTACCTGTTGTAGCTGTATAATTTCACGAGAAATATATACAGATTGTTGGGCATTATAAATAAAAATAAAATTTATATTTTTGAATAAAGCAATATATATTGATTCTTAAATATTTAAATTATTTAATTTTATTAAGTTTTGGTTTCTTTATGAATTTTACAAAATGTACTATTTTTAGTACAAGGCTATAAATCCAATTCATTAATAATAAGCGTAAGCTATTTAAATTTAAATTTTACATTTAGTTTTATATATTAATGTTCAATATATTTTATTTTAAAAATTTAGGTGGATATAAAAAAGCAAAAGAATTTAAAAAAGCAAAAAAAAGTATCAATAAAGAGAATGAGGTATATTATTTTATGAAATTTTAATTTTTGAATAATTTTTATTACTGATTTTTATCATAAATATATAGATAATACTACGAAATCACCATCATCTACTGAAGAAAATAATTTGAATAATAATGTTATTAAATTAAAAATAATAATGATTATTATTTTGCTAGAAGCTATAATATTGACTTTTTGATTTTTTTATTGATTTTCTATTAATAGCTTAATTCAATAAAACAAAAAAGCAAAGAAAATTCAAAATATCAGTTGATAACTCTTTTGTACAAGCCGAGATATGTAAAAGTATTTATAATTTATTATTTTAAATATATTTTACAAATTAAATTTTTTTTTAAATTAGTCTAGTACAACTTCGTCAATACAAAAGGTATTTCTATTATTTAAAACCTCTTATTAGTTTTATTATTTTAAATTAATCAATCTAATGCAATTAATAAATTAGAAATTTTACTTGAAAAACAATTAAAGATATATAAAATTGGACTGCACTTTCAATTATCTACACCTATAGATATTGAATCTGACACTGATTCTAATATATCATATGATTCAGCAAAGGATAAGGAAAAAAGGTGATTAGAAATAAACCTTTTAACAATTCGTCTACATTAATACAAGATAATTTGTTATCATATGTTAAAAAAAATCAAGAAAAACCAAATATACAGCAGCTGAAACTACAAAAAATGAATGAAAATAATAGCGATGAGGATTTACAAGAAATTTTACCTAAAAAGCAGCTTCAGCAACAAAAAATGAAAAAATGTAAAGAAGAATATAATCATGAAGATTTACAAGAAACAACACTTAATAAGCAACAGTATCAGCTACAAAAAAAGAAATATAAAGATGTTTATAGTAATGAAAATTTACAAGAAATTTCACTTAAAAGACAGCAGCATTGGCAACAAAAATTTAATAAATATAAAGAATATAGTAATGAAGACTTACATGAAATTTCATTAAAAGAACAGCAACTTCAAAAAAAATATATAAAGATGACAATTTACGAGAAATTCAACTTAAGAAATAACAACAAAAAAAGAATAAACACCAAAATGACGAAATTGATGAAAATTTGCAAAAAATTTTATCAAAAAGGCAAAAACAGGAACATGACGATTCATTAATTAATAAATTTGATAATGAACGTCGTTCTGGAAGATTATCAACAAAACTTCAAAAAAGTAAGCAAATTTTTTCTAACCTTTAAAACATTTTAAAATAGATTATAGAATTTAAAACTTTTAGTAAGTATGTCTATTATTTATTATGTAAATATTGTTTTAAAAAATAATTGCAACTTAATTATAGTTTTTATTATTTATTACAACTATAATGCGAAATATTAGAAATGCGGTACCTCATGAATTTAGTTTATGCGACTATTACCGTCAGGTAAGAACATTTATAATAATCTTTATTTTTCTGACTAAATCTAATTGAAATTTTTTTTTAAAAAAAAAATTATCAGATGTTCATATACAGTATAAGTATACTGTGGGGTCAAGTTATTGGTCTTTCTTTTTTTTAATCTTGTCTATATCTATATTTTTGTATTTTGCGGTCTATAAAATAAATTTTTTTTCAAAAAGCTTAAATCGAACAGATTATTTTAATGTGAAAAAAATAAAAATATATACATAAATGATTTGTAGTAAAATATACAATATTTTCGAAATTTTATTTGTTATGGTTATTTCATGTTTTGGCACCCTACAAAAAATTTCGACTGTGCATTTTATTTTGATATATGATATATATAATAAATCATACATATTTTGTTGTAAAATTATAAGAGAAAATGTAGGTAAATCGTCTCGAAAATATATGATATTTTCAGACTGTGCAGTGTTAGGGTTATTTCATGTTTTGGCATCCCACATAGTCCAGAAATCATTGGGTTATTTTTTGACACAAAAATGACACAAAACTTGTACAGAATTTCATAGGGTATGATCATAAAAATCTATACATTAATTACATTAATTTCAAACCTTTCTTACTAAAGACGCGTAAGAACCAAAATACCAAGTAAATAGAAATATCATGCATTTGACAACGATTATGTTCGAATTAGAATTGATATAACTGCATATGTTACGTTTTTATAAAGTACATAAGTGCAATAATTTTAATTTTAATTTTATAAAAAAAATTGCAAATAAGAATGTAATGGAATCAGGGTTGAAACTTGCTTATAGAAATACCAGTCACAACAATTGTCATGGCCTGTATTTTTATTATCAATTTTTAGCACTGAATGTAACTAATTAAATGAACATTTTGTTTAAGACTAATTAGTTAATTTGTCGGTTAAAGTTATTAATTTATTCATTTAATAATGATATCGATAATGTTCAAATAATTTAAAATATTATTATTTTTTTTTTTTTTTTGAAATTAATAAATTGATTAGTTAGCTATAAATCCAAGTCTTTTCACGCGCCAAATTTTCAAAGTATAGTATTCTTGGAAATAATTTTTTAAATAAATAAAATTTTAGAAATTGAGGAACTATTTTTTTATTTTGTGATTTAAACTTTTAATTAAAAGGCTATGATAATTACAGTTTATATGCTTATCATGAAGTAAATAATTTTTATAATTCTTTTTTGTGTAAAGTAAAATTTATTATTGATCGTGAAATATCACGTCTCCATATTTTGTTAATTATTTTTACTATGTTCCACCCAGCGTGCTAATTGGATGTTATTTCTCGTTTTTTATTGGTTTAAATTTTCATGTGACATGATTTTCTGCGCCATGGATGCGCACCAGCCAATTTCTTTCAACGCTGTATGATATAAAAATGAATTAATGCTATACTTAAACATATTTCTAATATTTCGGTAAAAATTAAATATTGATACGATATGTTGATGTTTGTAATCTAAAGCATTCACTTTTTTATTTTTTTCGTTTTTATAATAAACGTGAAATGATTTTATTGGTCTATATTCAAATCATACGATTACAAAATTTAACGGACCATTTTCGAAGTTAACAGCATCTATTAGGACACAACATTATCTCAAATGGATGTGTAATTACGTATTATTTCTCATCCAATCATCACACAATAAAAGAATTATAGGCAGGGGCTATAGGACCCGCCCTTGCTAAATAACTATATAATATGTGATATGTGATATGTGTAACGATAAAATAAATGATCGAAAAACAGTTCCGTCCGCTTGTCCGAAATTGTTTGTATTTGATACAACTTGACGTAGAAAACGTCCAAATAAAATATATCTTCTAAAAGGACAAATAGAACTCAGGAAAATCTTGAGAATAACGATAGTGAAAAAAAGCAAACTTGTTGCTTGAAAATTTTATTAAAATTTTGATCGTAATCTTGCGTAAAATAAAAAAAAGTAATCATAATAAAATAATGAATCTATGTTTCTAATATTTGTTACATTTATACTGTTGATGTTTTTATTATTGTTCGGATTGATGTATTAATAAACCTTACAGTCGATAATTTCTACTATTAATTTCTATTTTCATATCATTAATGGGGGACATTACACTCGATTGATATAATTTCCCATCATGTGATTTTCAGGTGAAATCGCACCTTGATTCATATTCCTTCCGTAATTTCGCACAACCATGTTATCATCATTAGGAGCAATCGTGCCTTGATTCGTATTTCTACTATCTTTAATGGCATTACCGTGTATATTATTTTGAGTGGCGCCAGAATAATTCTTATCTTTATTGTTATCGCTAGGAATTTGCAATATATTAACATCGTTATATGTTGTAGTATTTTCTAAATATTTTCTTTTTTGTCTTCTTTTAAGATGTATTAATATCCATGTAGTGGCCGCAAATAAACCTACAAACCCTCCTAATATTGAAACAGTGATTAAAGTAGATCCGTTATTATGTTCATCTTCAGATGGAGTAGATTTCTTTGGTGAATTGTTTGAACTATTTTTTGGTGGTCCTTTTGCGGACTCGTTAGGTATGAGTTTAAGTTCATGTGGCATAAGTAATTCGTCGATCACGTGTAAATTTCCATTATTTAATAAAATATCGGGAGTAATTACTACTGAATTATCGACCGAAAGCACCTTTCCTTTTTTTGAAATCGAAATTGTAGATCCTTCATAACTTTTTATGTTGTCCGTAGCTCCTTCTAATAATACACCCGAAAAAACTACTTTTTTTGGTACAATATGATGTTGAATGATACTCGTTACTTTGTCGCTTGAGAGTAATTCAGGATTCAATTTTGCTAACGCTTCGTTTGATGGTGCAAATATTGTGACTCCTATCAATCCGTCGAATAAATTTCCAAGGTTTGCTGCAGTGATTAATTTTCCAAAATCATTTATTTCTTTTCTTTGATTCATTACGTTCGTTGGACTATTTGGTAATTCGACAACTAAAAATAAATTTGACAATTTTAACAAAGGTTTCGTTTTTTATATATATATATTTTTTTGATTTATTATTATTACTCACTTGCATCGACGACTTGAATGATCCCGTTACTTGCGACATTATCGGCACTAATCACTTTTCCTACTTTTCCATTTCCATTGCTAATGGTAAAAGCTTCCCCTTCTTTATTAATGATAAGTTTTTGCTTTTCCTTTGCTGCCAATTTTACAAATTGAGGAGAATCAAGTAGTGTTTGTTCATATTGAGTACCAATGAAATCAGTTGATTTCGTTTCTTTAGGAATAATATGATACTTTAACAAATTATCGATAGCAACGTCACTTAATTTTCCTATATTTTCAAATGCTTGATTTGATGGTGCAAATATTGTATACTTATTTCCTTTACCTATTATCGTCTCTTCAATGATTGGAAGTTTGTCAAGCAGTCCTGTTACGTCACAAAATATTTTAAATTGCATATCATTTTGTAAATTTGTTAAAATATCTAATTCAATATTTTGCGTAAAGCATAAGGTTAGAATCGATAAAAAAATTATAAGATGATTTATTATTTTATATTGAAACATCTTCTTTAAATTTTTTTTCTTTTTTTAAAAAAAAAAAAAAAAGGTAAAAAGAAAATCAACATCTCTTATATAACTTCGCATAGAATTCTCGAACCACGCACCACGTACTATTAATATTTTTATTTTAATACAAATATATATATATATACAATATTATTGGTCTGTTATTATTAATGACCTGAAATTTAATATACAGCATATTTTGTTGACGATTCATTTTTTTTTTTATCGAATATAAATAAAAAAAAAATTCCAAATATCTAGTTGAAGTAATAATAGATTTGGTGAATTATTTTAAAATTGTCAAATTTTTTATTTATACGTTTGTAATAGTAATATTAGAAGCAACAGGAGTGAAAGATGATGTTTATTATAGTAGGAAACAACTTGAGCCTACTTTGGTCAATAAATGTTCAAAAATTTATGAACAAAGAAAAGCATTCATTGCTACAATGGCCAAAAAATCCCCTAGTCTTTAATTATCTCTTTCAATGATTTTACTGTATTTTATAAATGCGTGCTGATAATAAACGGAGAATAAACTCCGATTATAAATCAGGAAACGAAAAAAAAGTTTTTTGTTTTAATAAAAAAAAATGATGTGATGTTAATCGGACTAACCGGAGTATGTGCAATATATGTATGCTCAGCCACAAAAACTTTTTTATGATTAAATTTAAAAATAATTAACACGAATTTTGTTTATAGAGCTAGAGACTTTTTTTAACCCAAATCCATGTAAAAGATGGCAGAAAATGACAAAAAAAATGTCAAAAAAAAAAATGAAATTAAATCATTATCAAAATCCTTATATTATTTAATAATTCTCATTACATGGAATTTTAGAACTCGAATTTTTCTTGTTAATTGTAAGGCAAAAGTAACAACTGACATACAACTTGAGTAACCTATTCATTTTATCAATCTTAATAGAAAATTCCTGAGAAATATCTCATAAATATATTTGTAATTTCATTTACCAAATGAAATAGACAAAAATGACCGTTTTTATGCAAGGTCCCCAATTTGTGTGAATCACGTTACTTTTTATTGTATTTTTTTTTTTACACGTAAAAATAATAATTATAAAAAGTGATTAAAAAGTATATGGTAAAGTTTCTTGCCTTGTCAAGATCGTTTTGATCATATGAAACAATAAATTTGTAACATTTTGAACATTGCACTTAATACACGGTCGTTTCATGTTATTTTTATTTAGATGCATTAAGCTTCTAGAATTTCTTGGTAAATATTAAATTGCATTAATAGCATTAAATTAAAAAAAAATATAAAAAAAAAAAAAATTCGGAAGAAATAGAAAATTAGAAAAATATATCATAAACCAACTAGACAAGTTATAACATCTTAATAAAATTTTCATTAAATTCATTGAATATATAAAACTTTAATGCGGCTTGTCTTTATCTGTTGTAAAACCAAAGCAAACCAAAACTAGTTCGATATTGAAGTCGTTGAAATTAGTTCCAAATTTTCTATTGAGTAATTGTTCCAAGCGAGTTTGTTTAATTACAGGTAATTGTGATTAGTAGAATTAATCACTGCCTGTTCTTTAGATCACAATCATTAGTATTTTACCAAAAAAAAAAAAAAAAAAAAAAAAAAAAAAACAAGACGACGATACGCCTGAACACATATATTTTCTTCTTGAAGATTTTATCATCATCTGTTTGTCTTCTAAATCTATCTGTAAAATTAATACACAAATTGGATGTTCGTTACGATTTTCACCGTAACGAAAAATCTGAATAAAATAAAGTACTATCGCAGGAGTAATTCCGTATTAACTCTTAAAATTTATTATTAAATTTTCAAATTATTGAAATTTAAATGAAATATGATAAAAAATTTGCAAAATTTTTAAGTAGGTCTTCAAAAGACAAAATTATTATTAAGTTCTTGATAATAGCGATCGGTGGGGAATCTTATCCGCCTAATCAAACAAATCAATTAAATAATTTCATAAAACGATTATTTGAATCAATAAACAAAAAACCGTGAATGGGTGGGACTGTATCAATGCTAACTTTGTTTTCCATTGTAGATGATCCAATCAACTTTTATTTCGTTTGCTTTATAACGTGTTAGGAGTCAGGCGCGGTGCAAACTTTCCTCAATAGAAATTTATTCATAATAAAATAATTGATCAAAACCGATTGAATAATAATATAATGGTTGTAAAGTATTTATTTAACTAGGGTAACGGAAATCGTTCAAAGTCCGAAGCTTTTTCACAGAATCAAGTCATACTATGCTAATATACTAATATATATATTTTATTTTAATTATATTAAAAAAAACATAACAATATATGAATAATAATAAAATAAAAATGTAACACTAAAAAATGTATTGCAAAAAGATAATCATTTTTTATTTTTCGATATATGGGAGCTTGTCAATAGAAAGGAAGGAAATATATTTTATGAGTTAATGTTAAATCTGGACTTAAAACATTCATATTTAGCATATGAGGTAAAATTTTAATTTTTTTTAGTTTCCTCCTTTTCTATTGACAAGCTCCCATATATGTATTGGAAAACAGTCTCAACCGCATTTCTTCAACCACTCTCTCGTGACCTATTACAAGTTTTGACACATTGAAGCCTTTTCATTTAAACAAAACGCGTTAAACGATACAAATTACGTCAGCAAAAACGTCTCATGAATAGGTACACCTGATCATTAAAACCACGGGGTTGGATCCCGGATTTTTGAACAGGACGGCGCCTCATAATATATCCGATGCAAGCTTGCATTAATTACAGGTGCTGCTGCAGAGTTTTAATTTATCTTTCACTAAATAACTAGTCCAGAAATTTGAAGTATAAGATTACTATCGGTTTCTAAATTAAGAATTTGGTTTAGACGCAAACGTTTAGCCAATATATTTTTAGTTAATGTGTCGCGCATTGTAATTATCAAAAATAACTAGTTACATGGGCTTAAATAAATCCGGATATAATAAATCAGGATTTTCTGCTGTAAATATTTATTTTTTTTATTTTTTAATGTATAAAAAAGCTTATTAAAATATTTTCTTTTAAAACTTAAGGAAAAATGTCAAGGGCTCGAAATAAAGCATGAATATTGTTAATATATTTTATTAAAAAAAAATTACTTGAAGTCTTACAATTTTTAGCTTGCTATTATAGAAGAAAAATGAAAAGCTTGAATGTAGAAGGCTTATTTAGTGAAAATTTATCTATTTATTAGATATATTAAACAATTAAATTTTAATGACGCGTGAAATATTACTATAAAGAACATGTTTAACACATTAAGTGAAAAATTTTAATATAGTTTAGTACTTCTTTTAAACGCGAATTTCTCTTTGAAAGCATCATGGAATTCTCTTTATTAATTTAATATCAGAAATATTAAATATAACAAGTTACAAAGAATGAAATACCATTTTAAAACACTTGCTAATAAATAAAATAAAGATATTTGTCTTTTATTATCTAAGTTCCTTCACTTCTCATTTTTGTTGTAAACAAACTTTTTCTTTGAAAAATATCGCGAGAATTTTTTTCTTAGGATAAATTTTACACAAAGTCAACTAATTTCGTCCAATAAAATTTTCATTGATATTATCGTATAAACCCGGTTTATCTACAAACTCTGTTAGGTTAAAGGACCGGTTTCGCAAGTTTTAGTCATTTTAACCGTGATCAAATTTAGGGAAAATGGTCACGAACATCCTCATTAATCTACATATTTTTTATGTATATAATCTCGAAAATTATTTTAATCATAAAGAAAATCTCAATCAAAAAAAGATAACCCCTGAAATATTCTATCCCACTATTTCTAATAAAATAACACAAAAAGGGGTACAGCTCCATTGCTCAATTATTTCAAAGCATCCACCACTCCAATGAATACAAGGAAAAGCGGTTGAATGGGCTATGGTTTACTTACAGACAAAACAGCTATTCAATTCTTCATAAACATAATTCAACGAAGATATAAGACCAGTTAGATGAATGCCAAAAGGTTGAACTAAAATCTTTGCGTAGGCAGGATTTTGTGTAAAAGGAACAACTACCATCTTTATTTTGTTTTCAAACGATAATGACAGGTAATTTTTATGTGGAAATTCTACGAACCATCTTCCAGAAGCTAGGTGAGGCGTATGCCAAAATTTGACAAGAATTAAATTTAGAAACTTACATAATTTGGTTTTTTTTTTTAATTTAAATTAAAAAAAGGATGTGTAACTGATCAATATTCTTTTTTTTTTTGGCGAAAAAAATTCTTTATTTAGTTATTTAATAGATGAAAATTTAATTGATTTTTTACTTAATAAGAAAAAACTGCCTTCTTTTTTCTCGACTATAGGATATATTACTAGAGCAAATACAACTTTTTCAGTGGAATTCCTCCAAAAATAAATCATATGATTAATTATTCCCAGAAACATTTGTCATAAATTTTATTACATTTAATAAGTTCGGTCATTCCACCTTATAAATGAAGATGTATATCGTTACAATATATTCCTCCTACCCAGCCATCCCACAAAAAAATTGGTCCTTCATGAAATGTATCAGCTTGTGTATGTATAGAGTAGAGAGTTTATATCCTCGGAGATGTTTTAAGTTGGAATTCGGTTGCTATGTCCAAATCAGTCCATTTCTCTTGTTGAGTATAATCGTACCAATGAATGCATATTTTTTTTATTATATCATATCCCCGTGGATTAAACGTTACTCTATGTACGGTATATGTACGAAACAATTCTTGTACAGGATATGGATGAGAGGAATTATTGATAACAGATATTAAAATTATCAATAATCCTAAATTTTGTAATTTACGTACGAACATAAATGAAAAAAGAAATAAGCTTGTTAATAAATAATAATTTTTTTTTTAAAAAAAAAAAAGCTAAAGACACTGCATATCCAAAAATCTAATCACAATAAAAACAAAAACAAAAAAATTTAACAAAAAAATTTTAAAAATGTTTTCGAAATAATTGAATTCGTAAAAAAAAAAAATAAAAAAAAAATTTTTATCATATGAGAGATTTGTTAGGAAAATGGGACTCTGAGAAAATTTTATTAAAATTTTAATTTTTATTGCATTTTAATTTTTGATAATGTTAGATTAAAATGTAATATATGGGAGCTTTGCTATTAAAAATGGATTCCGGGGACTTTTAACAAAAAATGAGATTTTTGATTCATATTATAGT